TCCCGCTATGTAGTATCCCGCTATGTGGAATGTATCAAACCTAATGTATCCCGTGCACAACGCTATGTATCCCGCAAACATCATTTTTAAGGGATTTTTGGTAAATAGAAAACTAGAAGGGATTGGATGTTATTTAGTACTTATAATATGTGGTTCCTATAATTTATATATTTTTTTTAAAAAAAAGAAGTCACAAGGAAATGTTTTCTCAATTACTACCACTTTGCAAATATGGGCTCACTCCATATTGGGCTTACGATCTAACATCAATTGGGCCACATATTATTGACCTTCAATCCAATAAGAAACATTGATGGATCATACATCTTTTTAAGAAAAGAAATTCAAAATTTTCATTTGATATTTTTTGGATGGCAATGGGATGGGGCGGACACGGGGTGGGGTTTTCATGGCATGAATAGATGAATTTGAGGTGAAAATTATAATATCAACAAATGTTTTATGTGTTTTTTTTTTTTTAAAGAAAAAGGTCATAGTTTCACTTCATATGGCTATCAAGGTTTCTCCCACGTACTCGACCTGTTTTAGTAAATCTTACGTGTTTGATTGGACATAAAAAAAATTAATTTTTTTTAATAAAAGAACTCGTAATCTTAATATATATATATAGATTTTAAAAATTATAAACTTCAAATCTTAATTTTTAAAAAAAAAGGAAAATCAATTATAGATTCGCTGAAAGTGTTTTAACAGAAAAGGACAATAAATCATTATCATATGACACATTTTGTAATTATATGTAAAATTATTTGCACGTTCGTAGATTGGATTATATACAGGATGTAAATCATTAAAATAATAATTTTTAACTTGTACATAAACAGTGTCAATGACTTGACATAAAGAGAAAGTAGCCAATCCAATCTCTAGGAATTTTAATGGAAGTTTTAAGCAGCAACAACAATAGTGCGATCTCATGACTGAAGTCGATGGAGGGTGGTGCGTATTTTAAGCATGTACTATAAGATTATAGGGCTTAATTTGTATACGCAAATGTTGTAAATGACATTTTACATTATTCAGGTAAGTATGTTATATATATATATATACATAATAAATGTTTCGTCTACTTGATGAAAATTTGATCTCTGTCCTTTGAAATAGTTTTCGAACAATATATATAGTTTAAATGAATTGTTATTGGATGTCGATATATTTTTGTAAAATTAATTTGTCAATATCAACATATTTATATTTTCAACGTTTACAATTCTCATTTAGTAAGTGAAAGCAACAAGGGAATTAAATAGATTAATAGACAAGCCTTGATTTTGTTAGATTTTCTAAGATTGTGAGATGATTCATTGAATTGATATTGTTCTTTCCTTGACTAATTCATGTTTTTTTTTCTACCTCATGAACATTAACTTTCAATTTTACAAGCTAGCTCCAAATAACAAGATGTGACTAATTAAAGGACAATTTAATGCACGAAGCATTCGTGAATATAGAGTCACTCTCAAAGTGACGTGCATGCAAATATCTTAGTTAATGATATATATTAATTTAACTTTCACATGAATCAAATATTTATTCTACTTGATTGTCGATGAAGGTGCTAGTTAATGGTTTCGAATTTCAAAAGTCACTTCATTATATTATTGCACAAGGCAAACTTTTCTAAGTCATAATAATTTGAAAAAAATATACATAAAAAATCTTTAACAAATCCACTAGTTTGATTGACAAATTAAATTTGATATGTCGAAGACATTTACTAGTAAATTTTCAACTACTCAAGATGCAATAAATGTTCCCTTTTTTGGTTGGGAAAAAAGATTTTATTACTCGTCTGTTTTATTTTACTCGACACTGTTAATAATGTTAGTTTAATAAAATACATTTCTAATTAAAGTATTCTTACGGCGTGTCAAGTTAACAAGGGTCAAGTAATATACGTATCAATAGTTTTCTATTCTAAATAAAAAGAAAGTCAAATTTGTCTAAATACTAGACATAAGGAAGCGGGGGATAAATGCGGGGAAGAAACAGAGGAAGCTAGTAATAAACAATAGGACAATTATATTTTCCCTGAATTTTCTTTTTGGATTGTTCCTTGATTTGAGGGCTCGAGCAATGTATTTTTCTAATATAGGATAATTTAGATCTCCCTGAATTTTATCTGATCTCTAAAAAAGTCTGATAGTACTTCAAATCGATCAACTTTTCTTGATCTCTCCTTCTTGTTTCTTCCATTGATAGCCAAAGTGTTGTATGATTCAAGCAAATGATGACATAAATTTTCTTAAGGTATTTGATTGTCAAGAAGCTTCTGCCGAAACTTTGAAAAGAAGATCATCTCTTGATCACTTTGACAATGCTAATTATCTTTATTTTAAAAAAATATTCTATAGAGTTTATGAAATTTTCGAGATCAATAATTCTACCTCATTTCATTTGATTGATTGGTTATCCTTTAATTAATCAAAAGAAGAATGAATAAATATTTTAATGGTAAGCAAATCCCAACAATAATATAGTAAAGGGACAAAAGATCTACTTGGAATAGATGTTTTTGTTAACCAATATCTAAAGTTTCTCCTTAATTGGCCCTACAAAAGATTTTCTGGTACCCACTTTTTCCCTATATAACATTTAGCTCCTAATCTCCCTCACTCCCTTTAACCAATTTTTCCTTCTTTCCCTTTTCACATTTCAAGTTAGTATAGCGGGAATTTAGTGTATCGAACTGTCTTTAATTGAAACTTTTGTGTACATGAAGTTAGAATTTTTAACAAACTTTTGTTAGATTAAAATGGTGCATAGATTAGTTTACATGCGCACATTTCGACTATTTTATCAATAATATACATGTTATTTTCTATCCGCATAAGTATATCGAGTGATTCTGTCCATAAAATTTTACGAGTTTTGTAGTATGAAGGAGAGTGGTGGTAGAAAACAAGGTGCAACTTCTCCATGTGCAGCTTGTAAATTGTTAAGGAGAAGATGTACACAACATTGTGTTTTTTCACCTTATTTTCCAGGTGATGAACCACACAAGTTTGCAAGTGTTCATAAAGTATTTGGAGCTAGCAATGTAAACAAGATGCTTCAGGTAAGAACAATCTTTATTTATGAGTTTACCAATAATTCGTTTAAATTTATGTGACATGGTTTAAGTCGGTATAAACGAAGAATTTGAAATGTATGGTCTTAAACATATCATGACATTTTGTGTCTATACAATTTTTAAAACTTGTGGCCTTAAAACTGCCGTAATATTTGTATGATTACAAAAAAAAAAAATTCTCATTAAGGGTAAAATATGAAGCGTATAGTTAATTATCTTCAAATTTAGAAATATGTAATCCCTCTGTTGTCTGCATCCCATTACATGTATCATATTTTCGTTTTATGGCTTGTTTTAGATCACACTTGTAAAAATCTTTTTTTCTCTTTTAAACGTATGCCGAATCTAAATATTGTTCACATAAATTGAAACGGATCAGAATGTAATTATTCTTGTTGAAATGGATATATATCACATAACTGAAATAGAGAAAATAATATATATATATATATAGTTCGAGCCGAAAGCAACATGAAGTCTTGTATATATTTTGATATATTTCAATAGGAATTGCAAGAATATCAACGAGGAGATGCAGTGAGTTCAATGGTGTATGAGGCAAATGCAAGAATGAAAGATCCAATTTACGGTTGTGTTGGAACTATTTCATCTTTACAACACCAAATTGAATTTCTACACAAACAATTAGCAATTGCACAAGCTGAGCTAGTCCACATGAAGATGAAACAATTCTCATCCATGTCCGGTGGCGCCGGCACCGCCACGAACTTGCTGGGAAACGTGTGGTCACCGCCATCTCGACCCTTGTCGTCAGAGGTCTATTCAGGATTTGAAGTTTATGGCTTCCTACAACAACCTCAAATTAATATATTATAGTCCACAATCATAGATTTTTCTTAATACATGTATAAGGCTTGAATATAATTTACTATGTTTACGTGAATCTGTAGTTAACAAGCCAATATTGAGGTGCCATTATATTGTGGTAGTATTAATTAGAGTTGGATTCAAGATTTTTAGTTTGAACTTAATTGGCAAGGATTAGTGTACCTACATTTTTTTTTGGTAACATGAAATGAGCTAGACTTTGTTAAAATATATATACTTTTATGATTGTTCTGATTAATTATATATATGTGAGATATAGTAGTTGAGCTACTTATATATACAACAATGTCTGTCTAGTCATTTTTAAATATTTACTATCATGGTCTTTCTTTATTCTAAATATATCTTTATTTGTAGCATACATCAAAGAATGATGAACATTATATATATATTGTAAATGTTTAAAGTGTAATAATAAACTATCATTCTCAACTTAATTAATTTTTTTAAGCAAAATTTAAATTCGTAATGCACGTCTAACCCATCATTTTTTATCGTGTTGTATCATTTAACCAAGCATGGAAAACACCATTATCATAAAAAAAGAAAAAGAAAGAGAAGATGGTTTAGTAGTAGAAAAATGATTGCATCATTGATCACCAACTCCATTAAAAATATTTGGGATAATCAAGAATTCAAATTCTAAAGGTATGTTTCAATTTTTCAATATTCTTTTTTTGTGAACACAATTTTTGCTAAGATGACACTTATTTTGGAACGAAGAGAATATATTTTCAACTCCATAAATAATTCATGTAATATGAGATGGACAAAAATCTACCTACGGATCTAACATACATCTTATGACTTCATTAAGATTCAGTAACTTTGACTCGAATCGTATAATTTTTTATTTTTTTTACCTAAATCAATAGGGGGCAAAAGAGAAACTTTGTAACATAGAGGGGGAAGTTGTCATTTAGTTGAAATAGGATAAGGGGTGAAATTGTCAATACGCTTTAATGTGCAAGGCAAAAAGGGCTCTATCCACTAAACAAGATAGTTCAGCTCTTAGGGGAGACAGTCTTGTAACTTGCAGGCAAAATTCAAAAATGAGTAGCTCTTCACTCACAGCTTCTTTACATACCAGGTAAATTTAGTTTCTTGATTCTGTTGTTAACACTATAAAGCTTGTTGCTTTTTACATTTTCATGTTGATTCTTGAATTGCTGAAATTGGGTATTTGCACATTTGTAGTTTCTTTGTCAATTTTATGCAATTTTGTGTCTTTTTAGCTTCTGGGGTTTCCTTATAATACAATAAAGTTTGTAGCTTTTGTGTGTTGAGGATAAGGAACTTAATTGTTCTGCTCCCCTTCACATACTGGGTGCATTTAGCTTGTTGATTTTTACATTTTCATGTTGAATCTTGAATTGTTGAAATTGGGTGTTGTGCATTTGTAGTTTCTTGCTCAATTTAAGCAATTTTGTGTCTTTTAGCTTGTGGGGTTTCCTTATTATACAATAAAGTTTGTAGCTTTTGTGTGTTGAGGGTAAGGAACTTAATTGTTCTGCTCCCCTTCACATATTAGGTGCATTTAGCTTGTTGATTTTTACATTTTCATGTTGATTCTTGAATTGTTAAAATTGGGTATTGTGCATTTGTAGTTTCTTGCTCAATTTAAGCAATTTTGTGTCTTTTAGCTTCTGGGGTTTCCTTGTTATGCAATAAAGTTTGTAGCTTTTGTGTGTTGAGGGTAAGGAACTTAATTGTTCTGCTACCCTTCTCACGCACTGCTTCTATACATATTAGGTGCATTTAGCTTGTGAGTTTTACATTTTCATGTTGATTCTTGAATTGTTGAAATTGGGTATTTTGCACATTTGTAGTTTCTTGGTCAGTTTGTGTCAATTTTATGCAATTTTGTGTCTTTTAGCTTCTGGGGTATCCTTATTTAAAGGATAAAGCTTTAGTCAGTGGAGGGGGTGTTGGGGGTTAGCATGTTTTCTTGTAAAAATAAAAACTTTGATCTTGTTTTATATATTTAAGGTCTCCATTTATTGGGCGGTTTGAATGGGATTCATATCTTGAGTGTGGCTGTTATTGGTTGGCTTTCTTGTTAAAACATATCTTTTATTCTTGTTTTATTTCATGTCAGCACTTTGCGGTCTCCTTTCGTCGGGAATTTGAATGGGTTTCGTGTATCAAGTGTTGCTGTTCGTCGTGTTGGTTTTGTGAGGAAGATGATCGAATGTAAAGAATCAAGAATCGGTAAGCAACCAATATCAGTACCTTCCAATGTGACACTCACAATGGAAGGCCAAGATTTGAAAGTTAAGGGACCTCTGGGGGAGATGGCCATAACTTATCCACGAGAAGTGAAGCTTGAGAAGGATGATGGAGGTATTCTAAGGGTCAGAAAAGCCGTGGAGACGAGACGCGCAAATCAGATGCATGGTTTATTCAGGTAGTCTGCAGTTTAATCGCACTGTTTTCTTGACTTCTTTTCTCGGTTTCATTCTTACATATGGTAAACATTCTAAGTTATAATTTACCTACACTACTACTTATGATCAAGAAGCTATAGTCTACTTACTGGAGTTACTACTTTGAAATTCACGACTGGTTTTGATGTGGACTAGGGAGAGCTTAGCTCTTATGACATAAAATTTGAGATTTAAAGGGTCTAATTGATCTTCTCCAGTTATATGATATCATATTTTAAAACCAAATTGAGATGTTTCCCGGTCCAATTCCTAATTGATTTTATCCTAGTTGTCAATGAAGAGGAAAGGATAATTTTTTCCTCTTAATAAGGTAAAGAAGGACAGTCTATTCTTACCACCTTGAAGTTTTCTATTCTTATTAGCACTTCTAAGTTTCAAAATAGTCAACCTCTTTGTGGTTCTAAACTTTATTTATTTGATCTTAACTATTGATATATATTACATGCTATAGCCTCTTGCCGATGGTTACTTCATGAATTGATATAATCGAATGCTTCTTTTGCTATGAGGAGACTCGAAAATATGGAAGAAAATGTGGACATCAGTCACTGTAAGTAGCAAAATAAGTATGTTGCTCGGAATCACCAAAAATGTTGTTGCACTTGTGTTGGATCCTCAAAAGTTCACTACTTTTGGAGGGTCTGACCTGCACCGGGCAGCATTTTTGAAGAGTCCGAGAAACATAGAAAACAATACTTCATATTTCTCAGTCTTAACATGTTAAAGAAACAATCTTTCTCCCTATGAGAAGATTGACTGGCAACAAAGTTCAAATGTAGCATATCTTTAGTTCCATGACAGCATTTGATTCTAAGGTCATGAGAAGTGAAAAATTGGGCAGAAGAGGGAATATAGATGTAAGAATAGCTAGGACTTGCTAGCAAAGGACAGATATCTGTGCTCGTCGTAGTGTTTCTAGGCTAAAAGGTATCACAATAAGGGGGTGGTGAGAAAGATCTATAATATCTGGAGGCTAATAGGCCATTTGCAAGTCTCAAAAACCACAAGTGCATATACTACACTTTGGTCGAGGGGAAAATGGAAAAAAATGGGTATGGTTTAAAGTTTTCAATGTAAACAACAGATTTGAAGAGGAAAAACCCAACTTTAAAAGAAGGAAGAGAAAGTAGAAAGAATTAGACAATTTATGTTTTTGAGTTATAGCCATGTACTTCAGTTGGTTCTTTCATATTAAAACTCCTTAAACACTGCAACGGCTAGTTAACGACTAGTTTAACTTAGGGAAGATAATAAATAATCATCAGATAAAAATAAGGGACACTTCCTTTTGAGATACTCACAATAGTGAGGTTGAGTAAAACTCTTAATCTTATTCATAGCCTTTCTACATGGTGTATTACACTGCAACACACACTTGATTGAACCTATACAAGTGTGGAGTGTGGCTGCTCTTATGAAATTACGGCAAAATTCTAAAGCACTCACGAAAAATCAGGCAAGCCAATTGTCTATTAGGCATTAGCGCAAAACTGCAATAAACCATAGAAATTGTGGGAGTATAATGTGATGAATAAGAAACTTCGCTTACAACTAGAATTTTTGGTTCATAAAAGTTTTCAACTTTGCCAATTATTCTGTAAGTTAAATCTTATATTATCTGTATTTGGTTCGTAATCCAAAAGATACCAAATGAATCCATTATACTCAAAATATCAAAATGTGTTTTCTTTCTTCATTTTATAGATATTCATTTTGAGATGTGCGTGGGATTGTTGGGAATTTGTAAGTATCTCATAAGGAAGTGTCCCTTATTTTTATCCACTTATAGTTTATTGTTTTGCCCTTACTTTAAATGGTCAAACTAGCCGTTAACTAGTCGTTGTAGAGTTTTAGGAGCTTTAATAAAGAACTAGTTTAGGTATACTAGCCATGAATCATGTAGTTTTTGGTACTAGTTAATACTAGATGAGTTTGTTGAATCCTAGGAGATACACTTATATGAGTAAATATCCTTATAGAAAGTGTCATACACACGCCTTAAGCTAGAAGAATATCCATGATTTCAACAACTAGACGTGATTTTCAACTTGGAATTTTCATTTACACGAATCTCGTCTCCCTGATGATGATCATCAGTTTTACAGAATTTTGTGATTAAAGGGTATGATTCTTCACCCCAAATGATTTCCTCTCAACTTTGAAACCCATAATATGTGTCTTACACCATCAGCTCTATCGAACATTCTACCAATACCTAACAACTGTATATGAAAATTTTCATAATCTCATCATTGTTGTTATGTTAGTCAATTCTAATGACAATGTAGATGCACATATTTTTAGTGCTTACTATGAAGATGTTCTTTTTCTTCATCAAACTCGGCAGGACTCTAACTGATAACATGGTAGTCGGCGTCTCTAAAGGATTCGAGAAGAAACTTCAATTGGTAGGCGTTGGATATCGTGCAACCATCGAAGGGAAAGACATAGTTCTCAATCTCGGATTTTCTCATCCCGTTAGGATGGAAATTCCTGCTGGACTGCAAGTTAAGGTTGAAGAAAACACCAGAATCACTGTAAGTGGTTACGATAAGTCAGAGATCGGTCAATTTGCAGCTTCAATTAGAAAATGGAGACCTCCAGAGCCATACAAAGGTAAAGGAGTGAAATATGCTGATGAAATAGTTAGAAGGAAAGAAGGTAAAGCAGGCAAGAAGAAGTAATTCATGGTACATTTTGTCATTTGTTTTATTGTATTTTTCTTAGAGCTATTTTGAAGTTAGGTTCATTTTGCAAGTAACTTGACAAATTGTTAATCTTGTGTATCCCTTTAAATATAAGAGTCACACAATTTGAAATTGTATGTAATCTTCATATGAAGGTGGTTTCCCTTACATTTCTTTCAAACCTGTTCTGAAAAACGATTTTCTTGAGCTGAGGGTCTATCAGAAAGACAGAAACAATCTTTCTACCTACAACCCCACTCTCGCTAGACTTCAGGACTATACTAAGTATGTTGTTGTTGTTGTGTTCATGGAGGTGGTTGCATTCAATAATATTGACAAATTCATGAAAAATGAACATAGTTTTAGCAAGAAAGCGATGAGCTTCTAAATAGATAAATTCTAATTTTTAGTCCTTATTATATATAACTAAGAACATTTATCTTTCAATAAATTAAAATGTAATATTTTCCTTTAATATGAAAATATATTATATAAATCCCACACATGAAATAAGTAACAATACAAATTTAATCTCGAATCAAATTCTTGATAACAATGCTCGAAGCGGTCTTCAATTGTCCATTTTGTACGAGAGTCACACTATCAACATATACCATGAATGGATCGATGAATGTGAATGTGTCAACAAAACTTTATAGGCAAATTAAGTTGTCATGCGCCTTTAGACGATTATATTTAAACATTTTGTCTAATCAGACTTGAGGGGTATTTATTATTTTGATAATAGTCCAAATAGATAACTCGCAAAAAAATAAAAATACTTCGAATGTATTTTTGACCATTAATTTTAATTTTAAACACTTTTAATGAACTCAAAAGAAGTAATTATAGTCCAAGCATATTTTTTATAGGGAAATTTACATTTAATGAACATGATTTTATTTTAAGGTATTTAGAATGCATAATTACACAATTCAACATAGCATTAACAATAATTAATAAAGAAACTTAAATATTAAATGCAATCATTAACTCAAGTTGACAATAATTCAGTAATATTTAATTATAACTTCACACAGATCATGTGATGATAATTTAAAAAATTATTATTCTGTGTATATATACAGACAAGGACACAACAACAACATAAACAAGTAAACAACAAAGTGATTTAGAAAAAAAAGAAAAGAGGATGGGTTTGAAGGTTCCAACTATAGATTTTAGGAACTCATCAGAGTGGAAAAAAGGAAGTGAAAAATGGAATTTAGTGAGAGATGAAGTTTTCAAAGGTTTAGAAAAATATGGTTGTTTTGAGGCTTTACTTGATGGAGAAATTCCAAAAGAAAAACTATATGAAAAGTTGAAACAAGTTTTTAATTTCAATTTGGAGGAAAAATTTGGAAAATCACAAAATGTGTTGGTAGGTTATACTAGAGATAATCCTAGAACACCACTTCAAGAGAGAATGATGATTGTCAATGTCCTCACTCATAATGCTATTGAGAACTTCTCCTACATCCTTTGGCCTAAGGGAGACCCTCAATTCTGGTATGTATAACTAACATTAGCTATGAACTTCGTCGTTAATCTTTTGTTAAATTTCTTGTAGCTAATCAATTTCATCATTCACCAGTTAAGGGTAGATCTAAGGGGAAATTTCACCATTAATTCACCTGTTAAGAGTAGATGTAAGGGACAATTTCACCATTCAATGAGGACAAAAAAGTAGTCAATTTTGCATAGTTATCGAGAGATAAATAATTTACACTTTTTGAGTTCTTATTTTAAAATAAATTTTGCACTATTAGTCCCTCAAATATTGATAAGTTTTAATTTTTCTCATTGTAATTTCGTGTTATGCACATTTAAACCTCAACTAGTTGATATGTGAACTTTTGATCCTTGTGCTTGTGAATTTTCATAAATTTAACCAATTATTAAGTAATAATCCATCACATACTTATATTGATGAATTACGTTAAATTCTTCACAATTTTCATGTGCTAATTTTGCCACCCATAGTCATGTAAAATATGGATTGATAAATTAAGGTGTCCATTCTCTATGTTGCATTATTTTTTGCGTCTTGACATCAGATCATTTTTCGACATTTACTAATCATGCTATCCTTCTGAATATACTCTACATTCATCAAGCTTGTAAACTCGCAATTACTCATTATTATCAAAATCTATGCAGTGATTTGGTGCTTGGTTACTCCAAGAAATTATTAGAATTTGATGATATGGTAAGAATAATGGTATTTGAGAAATTGGGGTTGGAAAAATACTTGGATGAGCACAAAAAATCAGGTGATTACTTACTTAATTGTATGAAGTACAAAGTGCCTAAAGCTGAGGAGACAAATGTTGGAGTACCTCCTCATACTGATAAAATCATTTCAACAATTTTAAGCCAACATGATCAACATGTCAATGGGCTTCAAATTTTGGACAAAAATGGACAATGGCTTGATCTTCAATACTCATCACCTCATTCATACATGTTCTTTGTTGGTGATTGTTTGAAAGTAAGTTCATCTATTGCCTTACTATTTTTATCAAGTTTATTTAGTTGGTCATTCACGTCAAGAATAGAGGCCGTTAACGATACACTTGAAAAGAGATTGAGTTTATTCTCCCTTTCCCCCCTTCTTAGGATGTGCTTGATTAGGAAGGAAAATGTTTTTCGTGGATTTTTTTCTTTGATGTGTTTTGGGATGGTAACGTAGTAGTAGCCAAGTTAATTTTTTTGGGGACTAACTGTTTAATGAGTTTAAGTCTTACACATAAACAATGTAAACAATTTTCATCATCAGGTCATCCAAAGGATATATATCTGTAGATTTGAAATCTTAAAAATAAAATATGCTAGCTGCTAGCTAGTGCAACTGATAAAGATGACCTAATGGTGAAAAATTGTTTATATTATATACTGTCAATCTATATAACTTAAACTCTTATTTAATACATAACGTTATGTTCTATGCACTTATAACATGTAATATTTTTACACTATTGATATTGTACTGTTTGTATATATAAGTTAAATTAATATGTAATTGTAGGCATTTACAAATGGTAGGCTGCATTCTTCTACTCATAGAGTTATTATGGGAAATGAAGAGAGGTTTTCTATGGGTTTTACCACAATTCCTAAAGAAGGGTATATCATAAAAGCACCAGAGGAAGTTGTTGATGAAGATCACCATTTGCTTTACAAGCCCTTTGATGGTTCCAAATATCTTCCATTTTATATGTCAGAGGGTAAACGCGGCGTTGTTGCAACTCTCGAGAGCTTTTGTGGTGTCTCAGCTAATACTCCAAACTTGTCTTGATACAGACTTTTGATTGTCCGCCCCGCCCCTCTCTTGCTTCTAATAACCCTCTATCTTGTAATAGTATTTTACTTGAGATCTAGCTTCTTTGGAGTTTGTTAACATTCCAAACTTGTCTTGATACTGACATTTGATTGTTGGCCCCTCTATCTTGTAATAGTTTTAAACTAGTATTTAAAGAGGCGTATTCAGATGATGGGTGCACTGCTATAAAAAGGTTGATCTATGATATAAATTTGATCGGTTCGACATTTAGGTTTTTAGTATCGAAAACCGTTAAAATTTTAAAATTATAGGTCTAAAATTAATTATTATATATATATATATATATACCAATTACCACTTAGAGAAGTGTTATCTAATTTTAGAAATAAAAATAAAACAAGATAAATATAAAATTCAAATTTCTAACCTCGCGGAGAGAGGTGCACCCAGTCATAATTGCATTATGTGATACTTCAAGTGAGGGTTCACACATCTATATTTCAATAGTTTTTTAAAAATATAACACTACTATATATGATCTTGAGAGGGGACCATGGGTTCACGTGAACCCGGTGACCCTCCTTAGATACGCCTCTGAATAATTTTCCTTGTGTAATCAAGAACTTCTTGGGTATTTGTCAACATTTTAATCTTGTCTTGATATACTAACGTCTTAATTCCTGTTTTTTATCCAATTAAATCATCTTCGCTCCAAATATGATATTGTTTGAATGTGCATGGGGTAAATATTCCACTTGACAACTTGTTATCGTCCGCTAGGGTGTCAAATATGGCCCAAAAATTTGTCAAAAGTGAAATATTTACTTGTGCCATTTTATTCAGGTTAACTTTGAAAAATTGACAAGACAATTCTTGGGGTTTTGAACCTGGACAAAATGAAAAATGTCAATTTTTGGGATTAGACCTAAGAAACAATCCCAAAAATTGAGTAAATGCTAATGTACTTTTTTTGTAGTTACCAAGTTTAATTTGTATTAGCCAAAAGAACCTTCCATCATCATCTAGGTATATAGGGCATTGACAATTGAGCATTTTTAGTACCACAAATTATTCTCTCTGTTCGCTTTTATATGTCAACTGTTAAAAAATAGATACTTATTATTTGTTCCATTTTAAAAAATTTAACTTAGAATTTATAGTTTAAGAATATTAAATATAATTATTTATCAGAACATTGAATTTATTATATATAAAATAGTAAAATTGACATTCTATTTATTATTTCTTAAAAAAGGTGCTAAGTCAATAGTAAACAAGTAAAGATGAACATAGTGATTAATATCTTTTGAAAATGTTAGACTACATGTTTTTATCGTGTAATTTATATTTTGGTTCTAGTTATAATTATTAACATATAAGGTAGGGGTCTGGCCTAACCCCGCCAACGAAATGACTTGAAATAGAGAAAGAAAAAGTTCATCGAACATAAAGTCAATAGAGTAAGTACATATAGTAATAGATTAGGGAAGGTGGAGATATATGATATATTAATTGTATATCTATAAATCAAATGTTTTAGGCCTCAAAATTTTAGAGGCCTAATTTTTTACAAGTAGTGATACATATAATTTTTTTTGTATGGATTGTCTCTATTTTAGGGTGGTCATAGTTTTAATTTCTATCCTATTTTTAATTTTTTATCATTGTTGCTTATTTAACAAAAATATTATTGATCTAATAACATGACCTGAAATATGGCATAAAAGGTCCACATTTTATTTCAATAAATTTATGATTTATAACTTTTAAGTTTGTATATACGTGTACTGCACTTATACTAAACCAGTATTAATATAATTGATAAGTATCCAAATAATACATCAATGATAAAAATCTTTTTTTTTTTTTTTGGCAAAAAGTTGCCGTTTAACGACAATACTTTGTGGGTTGGAAAATAATTAAATGGTTATTAACAGCATTATTAAAGAAAACAAATAGCCAAAACGTAAACCTTCATTTAATAGAGATGATTGTGGTAATCAATTAGGGGCATGCTATTTGTATAATCTTATTAAAGTAAAACAACATAAATAAAAGATAATACTCTTATCAATATACATAACAAATAAAAAGATTTGAATTTTTTAAAATTACTTATGAAATATCTTACCTAAAATCAATAATACGCAAAGAAATATAACTTGAGATGGCAGGACTACGTGCCTAATTAACCTCCTCAAAATATGAATAAGAGTTGGACATGCCTAACTCTTTACGATACAGAGTTTAAGATCTTTTATTAAAATTTGACTTCAAATAATCAATTTTATTGAATCGTTTCTGATCGACTAAGGAGTAAGGAGTATAAGTGGATAGGAAAAAATATTAGAAGAGTTCCCACTAGATTTTTAATAGTTTATTCTGACTTTTGTAATTTCTAGATGATGTAGAGTACAACTAAAAATAAAATAAAATAAAATAGATTGGACCCAACATAAATATATAGGATCAGTAGCAAAATATTTATTGTTCCAACTTCCTAGTAATGTCATTCTGGAAAAAATTGATGGTTTTGGATGCTGATATACTACAATATACTCCCTCTCCCCCTCTGTCCTTAATTACTTGTCCATTTTTCCTTTTATAGTTGTCCCTAATTACTTGTCCATTATGGCAAATCAAGAAAGGACAATTTTTTTTTACCTATTATACCCTCAATTAAATGATTAATTACTTAAAAAAATGTAGAACTTTTCATCTACTTCATAATTAATAGGATAAAATGGTAAACTCACTATGTCATTAATTGTTTTCTTAATTGATGTGTCAATTCAAAAGTGAACAAGTAATTAGGGACAGAGAGAGTATAACCAGAATGGCCAATAAAGTAGAGTTGTTACATCGAAAAATCGAATCAAATAACAAAAACGAATCAATTGAGAGACTTTTTTTTCGTTGTTTGGTTTAGTTAGGCTTTTTTTTTTTTGGTTTAATATGACACATAGGGCCGGTTTGTGTGGTTTGATTTTTCAATTTAAAGAATCTACAAATTTCAATTTTAAGCAAAAAGTAATAGAAAAAATCCGGACCAAATCGATTAGATAAATACCAATCTAAAAATCATAGTTAGTTAGTTACACACTTTTGGCTTGTAGTAGTACTTTGCCTTGACATTCTAATTTGATTTGTAATCTTTATTTTGATATATAAGTAAAAAACTCAATTTCATGTTAAAAATAACTTCGCGTTAAATTATTCATCACTATTTATTACAATTATTACCATCATGATCTATTGGTAAACAAACATTTTTCTTAAAAAGTAAATACTTGATAGTGTTATGCTTGAATATAGTTGCCAAATTCAATATCACTGCTAACCTCATTTTCAACATGCTAGAACTTTCTTTCTGTTTGTTGAGCTCCGAGCTTGTGGTCCTTCTTTGAATGTGGGTACAATTGTGGGAGGGACGCATTACCAGTTATCGTGTCCACGGTAAAAGTTGGATAGCCAAGTGCAGAGCGGATAACTGCTGAAAGCATCTATGAACACACCTAGCAAATAGTCCTTTTTTTTAGTCCCCGGCCGCTACTCTTTAGGTGTGCACTAGTCAATAGTTTTAGAAAAAGTATATTTAAAAGAATTTGGGCAAAATTAGTTTTTCTAAAACCATATACTATTCAATTGCATGCCCCCATCCTTTTTGTTCTTGCTACTATATAATAATCCCTTAGCTTTTAAACTTTAGCAACACACTTAACTAACTTTGTTTGGTTCAAAATGGAGCCAACTAATTCAAGAGGTACTAGTTTGAGAGAAAAAATAATCAGGGGAAGTAGTTTGAGAGGGAGCTTAAGTTCAAAGAGGAATAGTACTAATAACTCCAGGTGGAGTGGCAATGATGGGGAGATTTTTAATCGTTCAACGAGAGACGAAGATGATGAAGAGGCTCTTAAATGGGCAGCTCTTGAAAAACTTCCAACGTTTGATCGTTTGAGAAAAGGTCTCTTGTTGGGATCACAAGGTGCATCTGCTGAAATTGATATACATGATATTGGTTTTCAAGAAAGAAACAAGTTGCTTGAAAGGCTTGTCAAAGTTGCAGATGAGGATAATGAGAAGCTCTTGTTGAAACTCAGGCAAAGAATTGACAGGTAAGTGGATGTATATATCTTCTGTCATTGTTGATGAACGAAAAATAACTATATAGACGACACCATTTAACTGTGATTAAATATCAGCAATGTTCGTTAGGAGTTTTTAGGACTTGTTAGAGATATATACATACGTTGTTAGAAGCTTGTGGTCTTAAATATGTCATAATGTGGCTGTAGGACTTCTGAAACTTGCTGCCTTAAACATGTTATATCACTTGTGTGGCTACAGAAGTTTCTCACGAAAGGTAGAATAAAAAGCTAAGTTTGGTGTTTCTAGGTATAAAAATGTATCATTTTTTCTGTAATGAATTAATAAGGATATATTAATATGTAACTGAGACATATGTAAACAAAGTGGCATGAATAGTGAAGATTCATATAGTCAAACTGTCTTGCTTACAAACTGAGACGTTGTAGTTGTTATGCTGTTGTTTATCTAAGACTAATTTTTTTTTATAATATTTAATTGAGACTGACTTAAATGGAACGACATGGACGATGATGATTCATATTGTCATTAGTCCGACTTGGTTAGAATTGAGACGTAGTTATTGTGATGCTGTTGATTATCTATGACTAGTTGTTTGACAATTCTTTTTTCTTTTCACAGAGTTGGGATAGATTTGCCAGAAATAGAAGTAAGATATGAGCATTTAACTATTGAGGCAGATGCATATATAGGAAGTAGAGCTTTGCCTACATTTATCAACTTTATCACTAATTTTCTTGAGGTAAAATATCTAAAAGAAAATCTTGATTTCGAATCTCAATTCTCTTTAACAAAAAGGATGTTTGTAACTAACTTTTTATTTTTTGGATTCATAGGATATATTGAACCCTCTCCATATCCTACCGAGTCGAAAGAGGAAACTAACTATTCTTAATGATGTGAGTGGTATCATTAAGCCTCGCAGATTGACTTTGCTTTTAGGACCTCCAAGTTCCGGGAAAACTACATTATTATTAGCTTTGGCCGGAAAGCTCGACTCTGCCCTTAAGGTAACACCATTAGTTCTATGTATCGAAGGGATTTAAGTTATATATATACTGATAGTTCAAAGATTAGTTGTCATTTTTGTCGTTCCAACAA